TTTTTTCAAAAGGAGTTAAGGTTTTTTCGGTGATTAATCCAAGAGGCATTTTTTTGTTGATGTGGAGGTTAGTAAAGGCCTGAATAAAGGTGTTCAAGTCAAAGTGTGATATCTCTATTTTCTGTGAGGTTTCTTGTACCACTTGCGTGATTAGAGTTGAAAGACGTAGATGGTTCTGAATGCAAGTTAGAAGATGTGTGATATCTTCAATGCTATTAAAACATCTTGAATAGCGGTAATCAGAATACTTTGTGGTATTTTTTCAATGAAGTAGGAGGTGGATAGATAGTTCTTCTGAGAGTAATTTGATCTTGAAGTTTTTTATTGCTAAGGAAGATGGGTTAGTATTTAGAGCTAATGATCTTTCACTATAGGTGATTTACTGTAGTGTTTGTATCTAGTTGATGTTTTCTTGTGATTCATGCCAGTTTTTAATTCTTTGTTGATTAAACCATACAAGTCAGTTATTAATTTGGTATACTTGTTTTAGTGTATCTTTTAGCAGATAGATACAGGGGTTGTTAAGAAGTCTTGGAGTGAAATGGTTGTATAGAAACTGCTGTGACACAGAGTTTAGTAAGAAGATCGTATCTATGGTCTCTTGGATTTTAGTATCTTTATCAAATAAGATTGTAATTTCCCAGTTGTAGATTAAGGTTTTTAGTATCAGGAGCAAATAAACGTGTTGTTGATTATCTAATATAGGGTAGTTGTGTAGTGAGACTGAGTGTATAAAGTTGATCAAGTTGGCAAAAGAGACGTTGTTTGTGATAACCTTAATAGAGGTTTGTAGATTTGTAGTTGTAAGCACAAAGTTCAACAAAGTAAGTAGTATATATGTATATGAGAGCCACAAGTTGGTATAACAGCCAAATGGAGCATGACTGTGTTGGAGGTGGCATTTTGCTACAATATACTGATTGTTTTTTATCATTTGGCAGGTACTAGTCATAGTAAGTGTTAAGGTTTTTGCCTTAAAATTAGTTTTTGTAAGTGTGTTCCAGAGCACGATAGAAGGATTTGTAAAGGCACAGAGAGGTCTAGCCAAAGTTGAAAGTGTTCTTGTATTACCCAGTAAAGGTATATGGGTGGAATTAAGATTTAATGCTTTTTTGAAGTTGTTTAAATCGATGTGAATTCTTTTCCTACAATCTACTTATAGGTTGTAAAAAGGCTTTGTTGCATTGAAGTAGCAGTATTTATCACGATAGTGATGATTTTTAAGACTACAGCCCTGGCAAGCAATTATTGTATTATCCAGTTGTAAGATATAATATTGAGTTTTAAGTGTTTCGTTTAATGAGTTGTATATTCTTCCAGTAACTAGTTTGTTTGTAATCATTCAGTCTATTTTGTTGTGGATCCAATTAGTTAGAGTATAAGGGTTTAGCTGTAAAGCTACTGATGAAGGATTTGTAGAGCTTGTTATTAGGTCCTGAACTATATGGAACCAACGTGGGCATCGGCCTCTGGGTATCTTCTTAATATTGTAATGAAAATTATTCCATTCTAGAAGTTCAGTACTAGTTGTGTTTAAGAATTGTTCTACACTAAAGACATTGTGATTGTTTAGTTATCCTTTGAGATATGAAGCCCTAGGGTGGTTTAAAAGAATCTGGTTTATTGGGGTACCAATAAATTCTTTCGGGAGAGGCCAGTTGTCCATTGCGTGAGGTTTACAATTCAAGTGTATACAGAGCCAATATCATTTGACAGGTTTGTGTATAGGTTTGTATCGTTAGAAAGACTGGAAGTTGTGAAAGGATAGAGATGTTGGTATTTGCAGCATTTTGTAGTTGTTGAAGTCGTAGCTTTAGAAAGGATGAGTCAAAGCTGGAGTGGTTTAGGTTTTTTTGAAGTATCAGAACCAATGATAAAAGCTGGGCTTGAGCTAAATTGTTTAGTGTATAGATGTCTGGGTTGAATAAGAAAGAGTTAAGAACTCTTTAAGCTAGTTTTGCTTTGTTTTTAACTAGTTGTATATAGGTCTTGTTGAGGGTATTTTTTTGAGGCTAAAAGAAAGGAAGAATATAGTCAGTATAGAAGGCAAGGAGTTATAATGCTATTAATTATATAGATTGCTTGTTTTTCTGTTATGTGGGCGAATTGTAGTTTTTTTAGATTAATTACTGCTTTAGCCATAATTTCTTTTTGTACTAGTGTTGGCTTTCTATTTGTTAAAAACCATGCTCCAAAGTATTTGAAAAGTGTTCCATTTGTGATTGCGGATAATTGACATTGTCAAAGGTTATAGTTTTGTCCCGATCTGTTGAGTTTGTTACCAGAGTAGACTTTTGTGGGTTGTTCTTTATGCTGGCGAATCTATAGAATGAGGAGGCAGTATTAAGAATTTTGGTAAGTAATTCCTTGTTTGGTGCAATCCATAGAGAGTTGTTCATGTATGCCATTACTGAGGCATAGATTTTCTTTAGCCGATGTGAAGCTATTTTACTGTAAAATCACTGGTGCTTTTTGTATATTTTTTATTAGTGGATCGTAGTAGATTTTCCCAATAGAGGGGAGATTATCTCTCCTTGATCTATACCGTCTTCTACTAAGTAGAGTGCAGTCAGGCCAGGCTTGTAATCACTTTGTTCTTTTGATTTTGGAGTAGGTATGATAGTAGATTTATAGCCTTCTTTGGAATACGTATTTTTACAAGGGCTTTGTATAGAGTGGGTATGTGGATAGAGTCGAAAGCCTTTGACATGTCCTGTGAGAGGATCCAAATTTCTTTTTCATTTATGGTTGCATCTCTAGAATATATATGAACTGTGAGATCGGTTGAAGTATAGACTGAAAAGGAAAAGCTACATAGTTATACGGAGAGAGCACTTGATTGTGAACTAAAATATTTGTAAGTCAGTTTATAAGAATCTTTGTAAAGATCTTTCTGGTAAGATCTATTAATATAATGGGCAGATAGAGTTGAGTTCATACAGTAAGAAGTTAAAAATTTGATATCTTCTAACATTTCAGAAGAGAATTTCTTGGCTTCTTCAAAATTTATCATATTAATACTTAAATATGATTATGTTTATTAATAATCTTGATTATATATATTTAAGAATTCAGATTATTAAACTTTGGATATGAACAATTAACAAGAAATTCGCAACCAGTTTTTTTAAAGTTGTATTCTTTTTAGACTTCAATTTATAGAAATAATCATAATTACATAAGTATATATGTTTTCTTATAATATCTTCTTCCTATTATACAGTCTTTTTTTGTATAAAAACCTTTTTTTAATCCACTTACTAACAAATAAATCATATTCTTCTCATATCATAAAACCTTGCTAACAAATAAATCAGAACTTGCAATCTCTTTGAAGGAAATTAGTAAATCAACAATATCAGTTTTGATTGTATTTTCAGTATCAATATAATAAGCTTCACTTGTGTATTCAGTATTAGCATTATAAGTTTTATTTGTATATTTAATATTAGCATTATTTCAACTCTCTCTGACGATCACTTATGCCAAACTTACGGCTAATGAAAACAGAAACTTGTTGGTGAAAAATAGAAGAGACAACTATACAATAATAGTTTTTACAGAGATCAAGGATTTCCATATTTCCCCCAGACTCCTCTGTATATTCAGTATACAAGTTAAAAGCATTCCTGTACAAGATAACTGGCAAGAAGGTAGTGGCCTTATATAAAAAATTTTAATAGAAGCTCTGCTTCTGCTAACGAAGTTAAAGATAGTTGGTCTAAGCAGAACAACAAGTGAGTTTTTAATACACTTCTTACTAAAGTTTAAAGCTATCTGCAAACCAAAATCCACTCTCTTGATCTTTGTGAAATTTCTACAAAAAGTAGAAAAAACGATATATTTTTATCAAAAGATCAACAACAACAATCACTGCTGAAAAGGAAATAAATGTATACATGTACGTGTATACTTTAGGTTATAGTATTAGATACTTTTTCCTCAAGAGGTTATAGTAGTTATACTGAGAATGCCTGATCCGCCAATGTGAGTTGATGGACAACAGCTTGCAAACTTTGCCCAGGAAGTTATAGGTTGAAACATTGCAGAAAGCTTGTCGACGGTTTGGGATAGCAACTAGAAGTTTTGACCCTTGGAGTTCTACTTCAAGACCAGATAATTTTTTAGATTTTTACATCCTGGATATAGATATAAATAACTAGTGTAGAGTTTTAGTCTAGATTATTTGTAGTACTATATAATTTTTACAATCCTGCACGGGTTTAATAGTACTATTTTTGTTTTTTTTTTTTTTCTTTTCTTTTTTCGTTATTTGTTTTATTTGGTTTTATTGGTTTAGGTGGACCAAAACTCGATGCCATAGTATTTTTCCTTTTTTGTTTTGCCTTTTGCATTTGTGTTTGTATTTCATTTGATAAAAAGAAAAGCTAACTTTGATACGGTATGTAACACTAGCCCATGATCAAAGGATAACCTCTAGTAAGCTGGAGAGAGGCTTGAAGTCGGCTTTACTTATTTGTGCTAATAATACAAACTCCTAAAAAGGAAATAACCAATCAGTGAGTTTGAATTTTGATTGTTCCAGATCAGCCCACATGAATTCCGAACATGTGTAAAAGAAGAAAAAAGTGAAAATACTCAAAAACTAGTGTTTAAATCGACCTTGGTACACTAATCGAAAATGTTGAGAACGAAATTTTACATATAATAAGCAAAAGTCTATGGCTATAGCTTCTAATGCTAATGTTCTAACTCTAAATTTGTGTCTTTACGCACTTTGTTTATTTATAAAATTAAATTTTCTTTTTTGAGTTGTATTACCAGCACAAATAAGTAAATTCCTTGAAGTTCACTGAGGCAAGTCATATCTGGTGAAAGCATGGGTAAGCTACTTTATAGATGGATTAGTATAGCTATTATTAGGAAATGTAAATTTTTTAATTTAGTTAATCTACAAATAAAAAGTAGCAGGACTGCCGAATTATAAAAAAAAGTATTAGCATTATTTGTGTATTTAGTATTAATATTATTTACTTTGTTTATACTGTATATTCAGTATTAATATTATTAGCTTCATTAGTATATTTAGTATCAACATTATTAGCTTTATTAGTATTTTCAGTATTACAATTATTGACTTCTTCAGCTACTTCAATCATTTTAAATTTTAATATAGAAAAAACCAGTGCTACAAGTTTTCTAATAAAATTCAAACTATATAAAAAGAGAGATTTGACAATATTATTGTGCTAATTATTATAAAGGATGTTGAATATTAATGATGACAATATTTACCAATAATAATTTTAGAGGCTGTAATACTAATAATTATCTCTGATAAAATTGACTTAACAATATATTATAAAAAACCTAAAATAAAGTTTCAAGCAAAAAAAGTTTTTGCTAATATAAAAAAAAGAGTTTGACAATATTATTATGTTAATTTATTGAAAGGGTATTAGATATTAGTAGTAATAATATTTATTAATGATAACTTCAGAGGCTATAATAAAAATACCAGTAATTATCTCTGATAATATTTACTTAACAATATATTGTAAAAAAATCTAAAATAAAGTTTTAAGCTATATATGATGCTAAGAAAGCTTTTGCCAATATAAAATACTTTGGAAAGCAATCTGCTTTCTTGATATAAAGATGTTAAATTAAAAGGTGATGATATTTATTAATAAAAATTTTAAATATATTCTAGAAACTATATCTATACTGATAATATTTGAAGATATATTATAAATAGCCCAATATATTATTAAAAAATATTTGATGTATGATATAATAAAATTTGGCAATATAAAAGTTGGTCTTAAAAGAGTTGGTCTGAAAAGTCATTTGTTTTTTTTATTTATATATAGCTGTAATCAGACTTTAAATTATTAGATCATATATAACTAAATTATATAATATATAATATTTATATTTATATTAGGGTGTGGTGACTTAGTGAAGTGGTCAAGTTGTTACCTCCCAAGTAGTACATCTAAAGTTCAAATTCTGTTGTTAGTGAATCTTTGAATTTCTATCTGTATAATAGCTATGATCTTTTTTGTTAGGCTGTATTATACACAATGCTTATCAAAGTTAGAGCTTAATCTTGTAATCTGGTATTCACCAATTTAACCAAATTAGGAGGACCCATAGAGCGTTCGTATAATATACAAATTATACAAAGGCATGCAAGCCAACAAAGAGTAGTGCAAACCCACGATAAATCCTTATAGCCAGATAATTTCTAAGAACTTTAGCAAGATTGATGCCTATTTAGCAAAATCTAAGCGGAGAAGTAGCATAGTTTTAAGTGTCTAGGTGAACTCCATAAGGGCAGAGTGGTTTAAAAATAGTGTAATCTGCTTATAAAGATATAGAATTTATCTGATAAAGAATCCTTTTGAGCAGAGCAATTTAGAAGCGATATAATCTACCTATAAAGATATAGAATTTATTTGATAAAGAATTTTTTGTATAACTGATCAAGGGCTGCTAGAATTGCTGGTGGGTCATTGCATAGTTGAAGAAAACTAGATCAGCCGTTAGATTAGTATTTGAAAAAGTTGAATCAGATCAGATTCAGATTTTGATATGATCCCAACTGTCAGATCAGTTTTGGTTCAGAAAATTCAGATTGAGCCAGATTGAGCAGGATTGTATTCAATTTTAGAGTTATGTTTTTATATAATCATGTGTATGATAAATTTAAATTTGGCATATGCCGAATTCAAATAAATCACTTTTGTATCACAATATATGTGACAAATTCAAACTAGTTATATAACAAATTCAAATTTATTACATATTTTGTGACACAAAATGTGACAAATTTTGGATAAACCATTAGATTGACCCAGAACACTCCTAGATTCAATCTGAATCTTAGATTCAGATCAGATTCAGATCAATTCCAAATCAATTAAGATTTTTAATAATAGACAGAAAATGGAGGGCATAGTCTAAGTATTCTTTTTCCTTACTATAACTAGTTGTACTTTAAATTAGTTTCTTAATAGACAATAAGGTGTAATTTGTTATGTGAAAATGGTTATATATAAATGTATCTAGTGTTCTGACCCATTACAAAAATCCCAACCCAGGTCACCTGTGAGTGAGTCATCTGGGTCATCTAAGTGGTAAAAGAAATCCTACAATGGGTTACTCATAAGTGGGTCACCTGGGTTATTCAGATAATAAAATAAATTCTGCAATGAGATTTATACACATAATCATTAGTTAAATTAGATTTTTATTATTAATATAATTTTTGTATTCAACAGCTAATTAAAACAAATAATTGCAAATATTTATAAAGTTGAGTAGTTTATTTAATTACTTATTAAATGGCAAATATTCATAAATATAAATATTTAAATTAATAAATTCTTTATATTCATGCACTAAATTTATGTAAAGAAGTAATATGTGAATATTCATAAACATGATATCTCAATTAAATACTAAGATTAATATAAATACAGTATATAATATAATATTCTTTATACTCAGTACTGCTAAATATAAATATGTAATAAAACTTTATGAACTTGGATAACTTACAACTGTTTTTATTAATTCTGGGACACCTGATCAAATGATTTTTGGCTGATCCAGTTAAGCTATTGATTTCGGCATAATAGATTTAATATGAAATCAGGTAACTAATATAAAATTTTTGTTCTAAAATTGTTCAGAATGGTGTCGATTTTCTGAACAGAGGTTTATTCTTATATTACACTATAGAATCATATTTAATTGTAAGTTGAAATAGGGTTGCAAATAACCTATATATGCAATATTTAGTTACAATACTGTCATTTAGGTTTTATTTATTCATATTGATTTGGTGATCTATATATTTTCTAAAATTGCTCTATATAATTTACAAACTAAGTCAGTTGATAAAATAATAATGTAAAACTCTATATTATAGCAAAAGAAAATTTCTAAAATTAAGTTGTAATGCTAAATCTAATCAAAAGCTTTATGATATAATATAAGAATTGGCATATAAATAATGTTGTCTATATTACTAATTTTAGTATGACAGCATTGCAAATTATTATGTAAAAAATATATACTGAAATCAATAACTTACAGCTGTTCTTATAAATTCTGGAAAATCTGGCAAAAATTGATCGACCAAATATTTCGATTCAATAAGTTTTGATTCAGCAGTGATAAACTTTTGATCTGAGATATAATTGCATCTGAATCAAAAAACTTATCGAATCGACAAATATTCAGTCAGTCAATTTTTATCAGATTTTTCAGAATTTATAAGAATAGCTGCAATCAAATTAGCTGAAAAATCATTTGGCTAATTTTTATCAGGTGTTTCAGAATTTATGAAAACAGCTGTAATTAAAATTGTTATTTGCTTGATATTTCGGCTCGAGCTGTATTGTGATGTGGATATGGATTCAAGTCACAATGGAACAAGATTCTAAAAATTTGATATGCACTAACTCTAAGCAGTAGCTCAGTCTACAGCTTTATTGTCCTGGCTTCATTCTATGAAGCACTTCTAAGTTTACACTGTTCTTATAAATTTTGAAGCAACTAATAAAAATTAACTGCTAATTATTCAGCTGAATTCTATAAGATTTTAAATTCAAATTTATAGCTGTTTTCATAAATTCTAATATGTTTGGCAAAAAATGTTCGACTGAAAATTTGCCGATTCTATAAGTTTGTGATTTTAGTAATAATCGCTGCCAAATTAGTACTTATCATATTCGGTCGATTAATTTTTTTCTAGTTGTTTCAGAATTTGTAAAAACAGCTGTAAAAACTTATCAAATATGGCTGAATATTTATTGGTTAATTTTATCAGTTGATAGCTAAAATGCACATTATATTTACATTCTAAAATAAAGTTGTAAATATCTAATCTGGGTTAGCTGAATATAACATTCTTTTCTTGTATGTTATAGTGCCCATAGTGATTTGGAGGAAAAAAACTAATGAACAGACAACAGTCAGAAATTCTTTCAGCAGATGACCTGTGGGTTGACCTACAAGTGATCCACAGGTTGACTACCCAGGTGGCCATAAGTCAACCCAGATCACTTGCCTACCCGCAGGTGACCAAGGTGACACCTATTCAGGTCAAAACACTAGATGTATCAATAGTTACTAATATATTATTGTGATAAAATTGTAATAAAATCTATCATATATACGGCAAAATCATAAATAAAAAAATAAAAAAATATTAAAAGCATTATAGCACATATATATTAAATTATAAAAATCTTTTTTTAAAGTTTTTTTTTAATATTAAAGTTAGAATTTAGGGTTTAGATTATTAATAAACAAGTATATATAGTTTTATAAGCTCTAAAAAGAAGCAAAAGAAGATCTTTATTTTATTTTGATTAGATTTTATTTTTATTTTTTTAATTTTAAAAAGTGAGGTCATGTCTCTAACTTTATTAAAATTCAATCAAGTTCTTTTACAAAAAATATATACAAGAAAGAAATTACATTTGAATCTCATATCCAAAAGATACTAAGACTAGAGACTCAAACACAATATTATAATACATAACATAATTATCTGCAGCCTAAACCTATTGATTAAATTTTATTTTAATCTGTAACAATTAATATTTTTATATAAGAAGTTTAATTAATATATAATATAATTAACTCAATTTTCAAGGTTTGGGCTATAGCTTATTGGTTAAGCTTTCAAACTCCACAGATAAGGTCGATAGTTTAAGTTAGGCTGGTAGCAAAATTTTTAAATTTGTTACTGTAACCTTAAAAATAGAGCCATAATCAGACATGAAGCTCTGTGAAAATTTTAAGTACAAGTATGGTTTTGAATAAGAATTTTCAGAAGAAGCCCTGATCATAGAGTGCAAACATCATGTATAACAGTAGCGTTACAGAAGGTTTAAGCTATAGAAGATCATGTGAGTTAATCCTTTGGTTGGAGTAACTCAGAAGCAATATTAATATCTCTTCACCTTCATATTAGGCAATATTAATATTCTCACATCTAATTTGTAAAGTACTTGCTTGGAAGAATAATCAACAGATTGTGTGTATTAGTCCTAATTTGAAAATAGTGCTGGGTACTTGCTTAGAAAAGTAATATAATACTACTGAAACTAAAATAATAAGAGAAATAATAAATATGTAAAAGAGCTGTAGTAAAAAATTAGTCTTATCTAAACAAGAAGCACCTTTGGCACCATAGAACAGCTAGCTAAAGAAGGTAAATTTATAGACATAGGCGAACTAATTTAGTATATATAAAAAAACTAAGTTAGAGCTCTGATCATATCTATATAGAAGTCTTTAATGAAAGAAGCCAAAATATACTAACAATAATGTAACACTAACTAATAATAAAGAGTTAATTTGGAAGTCAAGATAAATTGAAGTATGTCTCCTAGTAACATGATACAAGGTTTATGATTAGAAGTAAAATTGCTTGCCACTTAAGGAATTTTGTAATATTAAACTGGTTTTTAACAAGATAAGTCATTAAAGCAACTACGCAATATAGTTCTGGTAATATACTATATAAAGAAATACAAATAGATTAGTTAGTACTACAATATCAGAAAAAGAACATTAAGTCTTGAGTTAGGCAAACTAGCGGTAGCAGCAGAGCTTGGCTTAAGATACAGGTTAGTAGTACTTGGGCAAATAAGTGGCAGATAAGGCATTCATAGAGAGAGATGATGTATAAAGGGATGCAAACTGGTTAAGGTGATGCAAATCCAAGATAAGTTCTTAATTTGACAATGAAATACCAACTTTGTTATATGGTAAACTAACTAAACAGCAAGTTCCTGACTTGAGATACGAAGCTATTAAGCTATTTGCATCAATTACAATTGTACGAATAAAATATCTTAGAAGGAAATTGCAGTAGATCATGCTTGCAGGTATACCAACTTGGAAGCTCATTAGGAGCAAACATCTAATATACTAAATTAAAAGTTATGACTGGTTATATGAGATGTGATGGAAATGTGGTATTACTAGAAATAGTTAGTTGTGAAGCATTAAGCTAAGTAAGATATATGTAGCATAAACCACTTTAGTAGGTTTAGGTTATATAGTAGATAAATTAGTTTAAGTCTCTGTAGTACTATATGTAAGGATTTGTTAATAAATATATATTAATAAAAACCAGAGATATGACCTTACTTTAAATATTAAAAAAATAAATAATAATAATAATAATAATTAACTTAATTACTTATTAATAAACCCCCAGAGGTTGATAAATCCTAAATTTGTTTGTTATAGACTTCCATATAGGTATAATTGGAGCTCGATTTAGTATCTTTACATATACTTAAAATGTTAGACAACTTCTATATTCTTGCCTTCTATAATATTTTTATTCTGTACTGCTAGAGGTGCTTTTGCTTCTGATAAGGCCAATTCTTTACTACAGTTCGTCTATGTGTTTATCACTTTTCTTACTACTCTAACTTTGGTTAAAGGATAATCCTTTTAATCAAGTATCTGTATCTTTTAATTCAGATAAGGGCTAATATATGCAGTTCGTTAACCACCCTTTCAAGCAAGTACCTTACAAGTTGGGTGTAAAGATGTTGGTACTGCTTAAACTAGAAATACAAAAATTTTGGTGCTGCTTCTGTTTTAAAGAACTTACTTATATAATCTTTATAGCTGCAGTTTTCTGTAATATCACAGTTATATGTAATGCCTATCTTTTACATTTAGGTTTCTTTCTGTAAATTTCTAATTTAGAATTATATTTGTACTTGAACTTAGCCACAGGACTTTGCATTCAATTATAACTCTCTAAGGTTGCAAAAACAAATTAACTAATTTGTTTCCAGTTCAACTTGAACTATCAATCTTGTCTGTGGGGTTTGAGAGTTTAACCACTAAGCTACAAAACCTAAACCCTCTTATTATTAACAATATTAAATCTATTAGAAACATTTTTTACTTTATATAAAATTAAATTACACATTAATTTTTTTATAATCAAGTAAACTCTCTTGTTAAATATAAAGCTAATAAGACTATACTAGAAATTTCTTATAAATATACAAATTTATCAAACCATTTTTATAAAAAAACTATCTAATTTCTTTTAAAATATAAAGTTTTATTAAA